CAATGTATGTGCTGATGATGCGACCGTCTAATGAATGCCACAAAAATAAAAGTACTCAAACTGAAACTCAAACTTGAACTGCCACTCGAAATCGCATTACTTATTCGTTAACGCATTACAAATAAGGAGCGGCGTGCCTAGACAGGTTGCGCGGGTTTTCACTACAGATTCGATTTCAGCATTTGATCGACTAGACATGCCTCAGGCACTTGTTATTTGTTGTACACGTAGTTAGCAGGTAGATCAATAGTCGGTGGCTGCTCTAATTGATTGACTCAAGAAAGGGCCTCAGCTTGGGTCGGTAGCGTTGCGTTCACAGGTGATAAATTCAATGATTATCAACACGTTGCCCCTCACACTATATCACTAATTAAAAATGCATAATAGTAGGAGGCGGTAAAAGTTCAAAGAGCATTTCAGTAATCGCTGGCAGGTCTCTTTAGATTCGCTGCAATAATCATAAACAACGTCAGTGAATGAGCCAACCAACGAACGTCGAACTATGAATTTGTTGGAGTTTTTATGGGCCGATCCGCTCTCTGCATAGAAATGAATGAATTTCGTTTGGGAAACGTGCCCCTTTTATATGGTTATTTGATATATGAAAATTATCAGAGCCAGCCAGACAGACAGACAGATAGACAGACCACTTTGTCGGCACATTTTGCTTTCCTTTTGGGACTTTCGTTTTGGCTCTGTTATCGTTTTTGGTTCGTTTGGGTTGTTAACTTTGATGGGACGTAGCTTTGGCTTTGGCTCGTTTAAATGTGTGTTTACATTTTGCATATAAATGTAAATAAATATAACTATACGGCATTTGCTTTATAAGCGCTCATAATGATTAACCATAATTCTGTTTTAATATTTTGTAATTGTATAATTTTATGGCCATTTGCATTTCGCTTATTGTGTTTCCCTTTAAATTATATGCATAATTCATGTGGCGTATGTGTGATATTTAATTGCCACTTGGGTGTGCCTAACTCAGGTGTCTGTGTGTGTCGCTGTACAAGTTTTTATGTTTTTTCGGACATCCATTTATGAGTTGCTTAAATGTATTTCATTGGAATTCATTAGTCTTCGTAATGAAAGAAATTAAAAGCGGAGATACTAAGTACATAGCGTCAATCTGCCATAATAAACATTCGTGTTAAGATACATTTATAAGCACTTTCAGGCAACTGGAATATATAAAGATTCTAAAAGTCTTGATCTGCGTATGTACACAACAACCTCTTTAGCACACTTTGCTTAAATCGATATATATCGATATTCAGCTTTAAAAAAAAAAAAACAAAAGTCGCAAATCTTTCTATCTATATTAATTCGAGAATTTATTTACATATAAAATATTAATTTTATAGTTCCTATATACTTAGTTTGCCATATCGACACGTACATGCGAAGAGAAAGAAGAATAAAAAGGACATACGACTATTTTGCATGAGCAGATCTCTTTTAGCATAATTTGAAAGTCAGATGCTTAGGAATGCGCATTGCTCATTGGTCAAATAATGAATTATGAATTTTTGGGTTGGTAACTCAAAAATATAACAGCAAGGCCGTCATGCAAGGACATTGGGAATTATCGATGTATGCGATCAACCTCAATTTATTCATTTGTTGTAGTCAAGACTGTACACTAAAATAGCTTGAATATTGAACAAGTAAAATAGTTCTAGATTAACCTAAGGAGTCATTTGATGCGTTTTATTTGTGTTGAAAAATGTATGACACATGCAACACATGATTCGCATAAACTCAAGGTCCAGGAGGACATTGTAACCTTTTTTCTATTGTCTTAGGATCCGAACAATATGAGCAAGTATTGAGATCCGTTTTGTGATTCTGACATTTAGACTGCCCTAAGAAAAACGCAGATTGCAAACATATCCTTTGAAGTAATGCCGTACTGCAATGGGCCCTGGCTCAAAAAGGAATGTGTGTCACCCACACGCACACACGCATAATCAAGTTGAATGGCTGAAAAAATAACCAAAAAGGAAATGACTGCCTTCCTAAACTACAGACTATATGTGACTGGGTGACTAGCTGCCTGACTGCCTGACTGCTTGTCTGACTGGATGAGATTTAAGCTGGCCAAGACTCAAGGAACCGCTGCTCCGTTGACATGACAAAAGCGAAGAAGAGGAACGAATGATGGGCACGTCGTCGACTTGGACTTCAAAGTCGGACTGAATATGGACCTCTCTCTTTCTCTCTCTCTCTCTCTCTTTTTCTATATATGTATATATGTTTATATATCGCGCTCTTGCTGGCCCACTCCACAGTAGCTGTCAAAGATATTTGTATTTTATTTTGATGATGGCATGCGGCTGACTGACTGTCGCTGAGGCTGAGCCGCAGTCGAAGCCGAAGACGAAGACGAAGCTGATTCAAACGAATTGGAAGCCAAAAACAAACACTGTAGCTGCTTCCTAAGTAAACGGGGACCAATCAAGCAGCAATAGATGGGCATAGAGAGGGGCAGCCGAGGGGTTCAAGCGGCTTGGGATGCCACTTCTTATAAAACACGCAGCGTTGTCGGTGATTTAAAATAAATATTGGTGGCTGTCACATTGACAGCAAACAAAATGTGATTGTTCGTTGATTGTTGACATTTTGTGCTACCGTTCGGCTTGGTTCACCTTGGTGCACAGTGGCACGCAGTGGGTCGCAGTGAATCGCGGTGGTTCGCAGCAGTGCGGTGCGGCAGTCAAAGGGATATTGAAGATATTAAATTGTCTGGCGTTGTTCGTTGTCGCATTAATAAGCCGAGTCTTTCACTGGATCTTTCGGTGCGGTGCGTTCGCTTTCAATTGCCAAAAAACGCCAACAATGAAAAATTTCAAGCTGTTTTTAAATGTTTTATTGGCTTTTTAATAATGCTAGCACATCAAAGGGGGCCGCACATGCGCACAGAGAGCCACCGAAAGGCCGCCATCATCGGGGCGTCGTTCTACCAAGTTTCGCGCTCGACATCCAAAAGAAAGGAAGAAATAAATCCTCAAGTGACATGAGTCAAGCTCTTTGTGTGCCTCGCTGCTTGAGTTAGGAGACTATGGAATATGCTCGAATGGGGCAAACGGGGCTGTATGAAATGGACTATGCGTTGGTTGATTTATAACGAGCCCCATTGCAAATAATTTTCAATTAGTAGAAAAAATATAAGCTAGTACCTTACTTTAGTATTAGAAATGCCCAAAGCTGTATAAATACCTACTTAAACATTTAGCCTAAACATATTAATGAAAAACGCATAATCACACAAATTAAAATAGAATATATGTATATATCAAAACAATATTTAAGCTGACATCAAAGCCCAAAAAAAAAGGGTACCTTTGCATACTACATTGTTCCGTGCAAGGATATTGAAAATCGGAGCACTGTAAAATTTAACGTATTATTAAATATTATTATATAGATATATTATAAGCTTTGCCAATAACCTATAAACCTCGTTTTCTACCTAGGGACAAAGTTTTCTAGTCTCAAAAACTCAATCATTCGGTCAGACACTTGTTTAAAACATTATTTTGCAGTGCTCTGAAAATAAGCTTAAAGTCGATCGGATTTAAGACAAGAAGTTCCTGTATTACAGTTTTTTCGTTGATCGCTGAGATTTTAGGGCTTTCGGCATTAACATAAGTTGATAATTTAAGTAGCTGACTGCTATCTGTGTACTTTATGATGCTGCTTTATCTGAGCCCTCGCCGAAACATTCTCTGAATGGACACGAAGATAAGTACAAAACGTTGCCAAGTATTTTATATTACATTTATGTCGGTGCGTGCTGAGAGTGCCAAGTATGATAGAAATAGTTATTAAAAGCCTTGAAGACGACATCCTCGACGACAGCTGGCAACTATGGCAGTCAGAGTTTATGGCAGAAAGGGCCATAGCGAAGCATTGTGTAAGACTAACGCGAGGCAGAGCTTGTTACAATTTATGTTGTGGCCAGGACGGGGCATATATGAACCATGAAATGTCATAAAAGTGCAATTGCGGCCAAAATTATCGAACATTTAGCAAAAGCGATGTGGCTAAGCCACGGGTGGCTACGGCATTTATATCTCGAACTCCCCTTAGAGACATCGACTGAAACAGGACCTTTTGTTTTTTACGACCATCGCCAGAAGTATGCTCACCCAGACTTCGACAAGGAACACCATTGCCTCCTCAAATGCTTCACACGTACACCATTAAATACACTAATACACACACTTTTAATATACCGTCGCCTTTAGTCGCTGATGGACAAACAGGGGAGCCATCCCTCATGACTCTAAGGCCTTATTGCTGTACATTTTATTTGGTATCTTAGTTTATTAGTTGCGAAGAGTGAACAGATAGGGAAACCAGCAGAACCTTAAACGATCTCTCAGGGGATGATAATGAAAAAAAATCTCAACAATAAATAGTCCAATTACTATTTTAATAGGAGCGCGTCGAATGCGTCATCAGTAGTTGACAGTACTAAAGACGGTGTTAGAGCGGATAGTTTCTATTCTAAAATTAAAGGGTTCATATATAACAAAAGTTGTATTACGGATATTGTATACGGCATCTTGAACACAGAGAAGAATTTTAGACCGATTATTTCTGATGTGAATGTATTTAGAAGCCTATGAAACTCATTTATCGATACAGTTTTCTATTTGTTTATTATTATACCTTGAATTCATAGCAAATTCAAATAGTGAAAAATTTTGTACTTTCACTTCCATAAGCCGTATCCTGTTTCACGGTTTTATCAATTTTTTTGTTACCCATCCGATTGGCCGCAAGCTCAAAGATCTTTATAAACATTTTTTTTGGTAGAAAACAAACTATCTTAGATAGAAAATGCAAATTCAAAGTAATTTTAAAAGCTTTTCACTAAGCCAGAATCAACAAGTGTTCGACCATTTGTTGGCTGATAATTCGCTAGACTTTATACTAATAAAAATTAAATAAAATGTGGAAGGACCCGTTCAAGATAGGGTAGAAAATGTATGTCCAATCAACAAAAATGATTTATATTTCTATGATACAGGGTATTACACACCGGAAATGGCGCCGAGGATGGCACTTATTAGTTCGATTCCGGTCAAAAACCACAAGGCCAAAACTGATTTAAATCAATGCCATTTGCCATTACCCGAGTTGACCAAAATGTCATTGATAAACGTCGTATGTTAAATTGGCGTTAGGTGTCCGAAGGGCAGGGCAGGGCGGAGCGTTTACAAACTGTTTTGTGGGTTTGTTGCATGCTAGACGAAAGCTGTCAAAAATGTCATGGAAAATGTACAAACGCAAACGCTGACGCTGACGCTGACGATGACGACGACGTCGACGATGATGAGGTGACTTCTAACTAGCTGTGAAGCTCCTGTTAACGAGCTGCCCTACGTGACCCCTTCACACCGCAAACACGCAGCAGTCATGTGTGAAAAGTTAGTTGCGACTCAAAGAGAATGGGGCAAGGAGTTCGGCCAGCCGAGCGACCGAGCGACCGACCGACAGACAGACCGACCGACGGACCGGTTGCTATAAGCTGGCTAGGTTCGTTTGTTGGATGTCGTTTTTGGCGCCTCACATTGAAATTAATTTAGCTAGCTTTCAATTATGTGCCACAAACATTCATGCATGAAACTAAGGCACGTTTAGCATTACGGCGGCTTTGGGCCGCGTCCGGAGCAGGGGCTGCCAAGCGCCAGTGTGACATGACAGGCCTGACAACCCCAACAACATATTGACATTTTTGCTATACATTCCGCACGGCAGGGAGCCCCGGCCTTACCCCGGGTCCCGGCTCCCAAGTCGCAGACAGAGACAGAGGCCGTCGTAGCCCAAACATGTGTGAGTGTTTATGTCGGCGTGTCAATTTTCGTTGTTGACGTGTTGCCTGCCCCGCCTATCCGTCCGCCCGTCCGCCCGTCTGCCAGTCCGCCTGTCCGCCGGTGCGCCAATCCGCCTCGTAGTAGTGCCAGCCGTCTCGTATAACAGGCCCGACTTTGACTCGTTGCTGTCGCTGTCGCTGTTGCTGTCGCCGTCGGTGTATTCCGTATTATTATTAAATTTTACTTTCGCCACTCAATATGGGAAATGTCATCTGTTTATGATGGCTTTTTGACATCTCTCGTTATTGAATATGTTCGCTTGTTGTTCGTCCTCCGGTCTCAAAGCATATTTCTTTATGATTTCTCAGCTCCTGTTCTTGCTACTGCTGTTGTTGTTGTTGTTGTTGTTGTCGTTGTCGTTGTTGTTGTTTTCGTTGCCTTGCCGCAGACAACTTTGATGTATTTTCAATTTTGCGGTTTTTCTTTTAGTCTTCTTCCTACTCTACACGGGTTTTTTTGCACGGCTAAAAAGTTAACTTGAGGAGACTTCTGTGCAGAAGCTAACTTACCTCAGTCTTTGTCTGCCTGTTAGGGTTTTAGCATTATTTTTGACTTGACGGTTTTGACATGCCCATCACATTTATATTGATTTGGCTTGTGTGCTATCGGGAATGCCGGAAACAAACTGAAATGTTATATCTCGTTTCGTTTTGACGTGGCCGTCAAGTCCTCATATGTTCAATTTTAAATAGGCCAAAGTAAAATATTCTTAAAAAAAAAGAAGTTACTTAGTTATTCTTTTGCAAGCGTACATAAGCGGGCTTCTACGCAGTTTTATCGAATTATTAATAAGGACCACTCAGTTATTCAATCAGGTTTACGGATTGTACCATGTCGAGAACACAAATGTCAGATGGTAAGTGGGCGCTTTCTCTGATAAACGACGAATCGCATAAAAAAGGTCAACACGCACTGACAGTAGCCAAGTCCGCAGCAGCTACTTACTGTCAAGACGTGTCATAAACACATCAAGTTAACTGTCGAAACAAATAAAAATATAAACTTCGACACACAGACGCGAGCGGGGAGACCAAATAAACGATATAAAATCAGACCGGAGATAAAAGAGAACACAGCAATAATAGACGACACAAATGAAAGCCAATCGTAAAGGCTGGCAGGTCGAAACTGCTTTCAGGTTCTTTCCCAAGGGTGCGCACTCTTGAAAAGAGCCATAAAAAATACGTTTTATTTTAGAAAATTGCATTAAAATTGTCATAAAAATATAGGCAGAGAGAGGGCAGGCTGACAAGGCCGGGTATACTGTGGTTGTCATTGCTGTCAGTCGCTCCGAGGGGCGACCCAAATCAAATATGGGAAGCTGACAAAATGTGACAATTACTGGGGACAGTTGGCACATAGAAGAGTCGTAAATACCAGGGCAAAGAAGTTGGGCATGCAATCGAAGGGGCCACAACTTTAGCTCCATGGCCAGGCTAACAAATGAGTCATTAGAGGTTTAACTTGTGTTCGAGCACTTATTCCCATTAATTGCTGATTTTGAAATCTCATAAAAATTATTTAACTATAAAATGTAAATGACTTAAGTGGTATTCCATTTCCTCACACACCCTGGCAATAAATAACCCAAAACTTTTTATATGTTTCAGTTTGTGTTCGTCTTTTATAGTGGCATTGAAATCAATTTTCATATCATTAGTCTTGTAAAATATGCATGTCGGATGTCGTGTTAATTCATTATTCTCCGCAGCCCATTGGACGATTATTATTTTATTTCATTTAAACTTTGTTCATTTGATAAAGCGTGCTCAATATATATATACCCAACCTGTCATACTATGGCCAACATTACTGGCCGAATCTTGGCAAAACAAACAAGAATGCATACTACGAAGCAGTAAATAAATAATCAAAAGAAAATCAAAATTAATTGTTTTCTTTAGTTTGTCCAGGATAAATAAGCGTTGTAGACATGTATAAATATGTCGGTATATGTGATTCCAAGGTTATCACAGGGTGATGACAAGGATTTTTAAATGATATTCCGTCTTCTTTGCCCTGTATTTATGCTAATACAAATTACAAAAAAAAAATTACTTGAATTGTTGTGCTGGTGAAAGCTTTGTTGGTTATTCATACAAATGGACATGCGATCAATTTAAAAAGAGTCCAAAAGGAACGACCACAAAATACTCACTTACGTAACCCCGAAGGCCCCGGAGCGAAAAATCGTTCTCAAAGCTTGTGACACATGTAAATTCGTGCTGACAGCTGTGGGGAAGTAAGTTCAAAAGAGGGAAAAACACGAAAAATAAAAGAAATATGTCAACAAAATTAATGTCATGCGAGTGCAACGCAATGAAAAATTATGGCCCGGCCTTACGTCAATAACAAAAGGCAGGCAAAAAAACCGGAGCCCGCAAAAACAATGATTGATTTGACAGGACAACGCGGCAGAGCGCAGTCTGACACGATATGATAGATCCAATGGATGAATGCATGCGTTATGGTTATGCGAAATACTCAAATAAACTAAAAGAGGCAGCATGAGCTGCAAATAAAACTGCCGTCAATTGGCGTAACTGTGCAAAATTTAGTGCCTCAGGTGGCTCGCACTAATGAGCTCAAATAATATTAATTTCCTAACCAACTCGTTCGCCTGCCCAAATAGTATTTTCGCTGCATTTGTCAACATTTGTAAGATTTGACACCGCCCGCCCTATGACGTTGCCTTTGGCAATGTTTTCACTCCCTTTGCTCATTCACATAAACATTTTACCCCAATGACATTGACAGCTTTCGATCCTTTTGGAACTCTGAACCCGTTCCGGCAAAAGAGTCGGCCTTACGTGTAATTAATAACATGTACACACAACCACTGAGTCAGAGCACTTATGATGCGTGAGGCTATAGACGAAGGTGTTTGCAACTACCCTACACTTTGCCATTTGCTGGCCACGGGATATGTTCACATATGGTGTGTGGTTTTTGTGTGCCTTTGCAAATAATAACAACTTAGTTTATTTCAATCCTAAAAAACCAGCCAATGTTAAACAGTAAGAATGTTCTAGTCAGGAGTGTTCGTCTAGGAGAACCCGAATCCAACATCAACATCATTGCCGCTACAAATATTCCAGCTTCCTTTAATATATTAATACACACCTTGCCAAGCAGCTCTGCTTATTCTTTCCTTTACCAGACAGTATGGGGACTGCAGTCTTGCTTCTTCTTAAATATAGCTTGAAAATGTATGTATGAGCCTAAGCAGAAGGAGGAAAGTAACATACACCATTTGGGGTATCAACTCTACGATCGGACTGCAAACTTCAAAGTTAATCTGTAATGAAGATATATATTTCCCGTGCATAGTGTCGGGAATGTCTATAAGTAAGCTACTACACAAGGCATGCAGGAACAAAATTTGATGCCCTAAGTTTTGTAAAAATCAGAATAAAGCAAATAAGTATCATCAACACGTAGAAAACAAGCCGCGTATACGGCAGCTGCATATATAATTATGGAAAAGCGCTACCAAACCTATAATAAAGGTAACGCCATCAAAAAAAAATAAATAACAAACCCACACACATCATATTTTAAAGATCATGGGCACTGGCATATCGAATTTCGAGCAGATTTCAATTTGTTTTTATATGCCTCCGGTGACGACATGGACTTCAGCATGTTATGGGCATAATGCTGTCAGCCCATATTTCTCAACCAGAAGATCACAAACAAAGGGGTGTTTGCCCTGCCCTGCTCGGCATAGTCCTGCCCATATTTAGCACAGCTGGGGGTGTTTTTGTGGCGGCTGCGGAATGACTGCCGTGAATAAAGCGATTTGTCTTCTTTGTTGTTTACGTTTGGTGTTATAAATTATGCGTTGGCTTTTTGCCCAGAACGTACGTCGCCCGTCGTAGACATATCTAAAATTGTCCAAAAATTATTTGTGCATAACAGGGATAATCATAAATCTAGCTAATTGCACTTTATTGGGGTCTTTCGCATAAGCCGTCATCTCTCAGTGGTGGGCCCGTATCAATCTTAGGGGTAAAATTGAATTTGACATGCCGCTCATAGGCATTAAATCAGAACAGTTTTATAGTCCGCCAAACGGACAACATATAAATTTTCAGCTTTTTGCCGATGCTGTCATTTGATAAGGTTAATGAGTTTATGCCACTGGCTCTCTTATTTCCAGAGGATATTGAAGTGCTGCTACTTTTCTCAAAAAGGGAGTAAATTCCAACAGTTAGTCCAACTTATAAAGAGCTATTAACGAAGTTAGGCGAGATTTGTAACTCGAGCTATCTAATTTATTTCCTCGGATAAACGATACACAGGTTATAAATACAAAGTATTAAGTATATGCACAATATGCGATGCGTTTGAACACCCTCGTTTTTGGAATTCCATATAAGTGACACGTTATAATCCACACATACTCGGGATTAACACAATCCTCACATATGCCCACATGAAAAATGCATTACACTTGGACCCAGTCGTCGACACATAAGTAATTAGCTAAAAATGTGAGGAGTGGAGCTAAAGTGAATGTGCATTCAGACTGCAACTGAAGAGGCATTTCCAATTCATTTCCATTTTCATGCTGCAGTGTCTTTTCGGTAGCGGTAGCTGTTGAAAGGCAACTCTCAAATGGCGGGACCCGGTCCCAGATTTTATTCAAATGAATTTGAAAATCGAAATGAGCATGCTCCGGTATTTTTGTGTGTGTAGGTACACGGCTTTTGATCTTTGTTGCGTTTGTTTGTATACAATTTGATGGCTCGTGTTGATGGATCGTAAACGTGAAATGATGTTCGCGATGCCGCCTCCGACTGCCTCTCCCCCAGTGCCTCAGCTGATGGCGATGACGATGACGATGACGATGATCAACGCAACGATGACGGCACAAAGTGTCTTTGATCATTTGCCGCGCCAGTTGGCAGTCAAAATGTTAATTTATGCGTTGCTCCCACCTACACATGCCCTGCTCAGCAGCATTAACAACTTTACAAACATGTTTGAGGTTTTTATTACGGTGTGAAAATGCTCGATTGTTCCGTAAAATAAAAAAGGATCAAACAAGTTTACGGGTGGGCAGTCGGGCAACCAGGCAATCGGCCCCAGCCATGGCCATGCCGATGCCGATGCCGAGATCAACACTAATGCCAATACCCGTGTCCATAGAGATGGCTGTGAGTCTCTCGGGTGATTGATGCACCGTGCGCACCAAAACAACAAGATCGACCGACTATATCGCCAATAAGGTGGAAGCAACACCAGATCTTCATTATGATCAAGTTGTCGGTGAATTTTTATTGTTGGCAATCGATCAAACTACTTGACGGCTGATCAAAGCTACAGGAACTTTCAGTTTGCGTATTTTATACGATTTAATTCATTAATCAGTAAGTTTTTCAAAATGTTTTCGCTGGTTTTTAACATTGATATTTTCAAATTGAATATTTTAAACCCTGTGCCCATTGCAAATTGTTAAAAAGAAAAACAAGTAAGTTCCAGACATTTCGCATAATTCATTTCAACTTGGTATAAATGATGGCAAAGATGTGTCATTTGTGATGTACTTCGCTTTTTACGCAAAATTATTTCCATTTTATTTTCCCATCAAACTAAAAGCAAATCCGTTTAATAGCTAGACACCGTGATTTGATATGTAGACCCGCATTGGAAAGTCTTTAAAAAGAAGACCTATACATTTATTTGAAGTGCATAATTTAAGAATATTTCGCGCGACTTTCTCAAGCTTCCCAACTAACAAATCTGTTCGGCTATTGTCAGTCAAAGACTGTAATAAAACAATGTTTTCTTGAATTTTGCCAAATGAAAATGCCAGGCCAAGATCAAATGCTCAACATAAATACTATCACACGTATGGACATGGCTGTTAAAGCGTGGAAGACAATAACAAGCTGTGCGGATGTTTGGTTGCCCGGTTGGTTGTCTGATTGGCCTGCCACAAGAGTGCAAGCAGCAAAAAGAAACATTTGTCTCGCTTAATTTAAACAGATTTGCGAGATTATTGTCATGCCAACGTTAAAGCAACAATTTCAATTTTGCCGCTGCAGCAAAAAGTGACAACAACAATAACCACAACCCGCTGTGCCAGCTGACACACTGCGAGAGACAGGAGCGAATTAACAACCTCAATCTCAACTTCCAACTCCAACTCCAACTCCAACTCCGATTCCGTGGCGGGGGCTTGAAAAGAAAGAAAGTTGCAGTCAACAAGGAGAACGATGCAAACGCATGCGAATCTTGACAGCCGGCAACTTTTAATGTTGCCCCAAGAAAGCAGCAGCAAACAAAAAGCAGAGGCCAAGCCCAGAGCACATAATAAAAGATGCCAGAGCGACGGCAGGCAAGCAGGCAGCTCAGCTCCTCCGATTCCGAGTGGGCTGTTTGATGGCAGAACAAATTTTGCAATGTCGCTGTGATTTTGCGCCAGCGTGACAGACACTTGCGCTCTCCTCAGGCCGCCGGAATGCACACAAGCCATATTTAAAATGCTTTGAAGTTCCACCGCCTTCAGCTCCAGCTTCAACTTCAACTGCAACTGGAACTCTAGTCAAACTGCTAGGCGTCGCCTTAGAGACGGGCGCGAAACGACTTATGTTGAATGGTTGTCCGTTTGACACGATCAGAGCAGGCTCGCTATCTCAAGGCCCAACTGCAGTAACACATGTCCAGTTTTAATTGCTGCCATCAATGAATGAATCAGCTAACGTTTGCCTGACAGCTGACTGCCGCCCGACAACTTGACTGCCCGACTAGCTGTTTAGCTAACTGCCAACCAGCTACTCATTTCCGGAAGTTAAAATATTCGTAGCTTATCTCTATCGCAGCTGTGTTGTTGCTGCTGCTGTTGCTGCTGCAAAGTCATTAGACTCTGTCACTCTGTCACTCTGTCAGTCAAGTCTGTGACTGCCAAGCCAGCCGCAGATAGTCGAGCTTTAAAGGCAGACATTTGATCTCTGCTGTCAACTAGATTCACGTCAAACTGTTTGGACAAGCTGTTCGAGTACATAATGTCAAACAGATGCAATACAACAGCAACCGAAACGCGTCCAAGTGATTTTGTTAGCAATATGCAACGCATAACGAATGTAACAATAGAAAGTGGATAATAATGACATCACTAACATTTTGTTAGTAGGTTAGGTTACTCAAGAATTACATCTGAGGCCTGTTATTACAGTGAATTAATGAGAAAATTACTTCGATTTAAAACGGTATTAAACTACATGAAAGCTCATTAGCATATCTTTCGGTTCGCCTATTGAAATTTCATTTCGTATCCAACAGTAAACTATACTAGATTTTCCATGAGTTCTTCAAAATTATTGTCATAGTAAAAATGTTGGATTAGTTTTTGATAAAAATTCATAGTAGACAAACATTAAATGTCTGTCTGTCACATTTAATATAAAACCCACACTCATTTAAATTCATTGAGTATATACAAATATTCCAAAAACCAACAAAATAATATAGTTGTAAATTATCTCAGCAGTTTAATAGCCTTATAATCTTAAATATGATTCGGTGTTTTGGCCGCCAAAAATGGCTTCCAAAAGCTTTAGTTCGTTCTTGTGGGGCAGCAGTGATCAATACTGAATCTAATCAAACAAAGATCTCCACGGAGCAAACGAAGGACACCAAAATAAAAGGCGACTCTAAGCCTAGCGAACGCTATTTAAAATTTAAGGAGAAACTGCGATCCACTGCACCCGTTATTGCCGTACCAAAAGGAATGCCACATCCGGCTCATGAAAAGGAGCCACTGATGCCCTGGCCAAACAATACCAATCCGTATACAGGCGAAATTGGTGGACCGCGCGGACCAGAGCCCACACGCTATGGTGACTGGGAAAGCAAGGGCCGGGTTACAGATTTCTAAAAATTTAAGACTACCAGAAATGTCTCCTCTAACCAGGGGGCTCACGAACTTTGATTTATTAACCGTGTTAACAACAGAAGCACTCGCTATTTCTTACACTCTAGGTAAAACATCTTTTACGGAACGGTAGCTGGGAGATCGTTCAACCTTTATCATTGTTGTTTGCTGTTCTGCGAAGGCATTACATAAATTTCAGTCTTGTGGTTTCCAGAATTTATGTTGCACCAACAATAAAATATAAATTGATAGCCTCTATTGGATGCTCTCCAAGAGAAAGGGTTCTCGGAATAGAGTACACAATGCAGCTCCCATTATTTATTATGGTTCAGGGGCAGAGAATCGTGCCTAAGTCGAAATATTTCGAGTGTGCACGAGTCGATTCATTTGAAATTGAGGCGACAGTTTACGTGATATTTATTTGAAAAGTGTTGTCTTTTCTAATTTTGTAGCCGGGCTTCGTACTTTGCTAGAAGTCGAAAGGCGTTTTAAAATGTCGTAAATTGTTTGGGACACTCCGGAAAAAATGTGTGGTGGGCATAGAAATTTGGGAAATTCGCAGCTGTTTGTCTGCTCAGTCCCTTTGACATTTTTGTGGTGTTTGCACTGATTAGTTGGCTACACAAATAGAAAGTCCCATCAAGCAAATGTATCACAAAAAAAACACAATTTACCAGGTCAGTCCAACACGGTATATTAGATGTAAAACTGTAACCTCGAAGCAGTCATTTTCAAACTTTCGAAGATACCAACCAGAGGTCACAAGTAGTCTCAAAAGCCGATTTCACACTGATTTGTCCTATATGATACATATCTATATATAAGACGGTTTGTCTTGTTCAATGCAGAGCCCAACTCGTCGAGTTAGGAAGCTAAACTTGTTTGATGTTGAAACTCCACCCGCAAATGTGGAGAAAACACAGGAAACGTTTGTATGAAACTTAATTGCTTACCATTCAATCAGCCTCAAACTCATTTTGAAATTTCTTTGTTTGACTGGTGTTTCACACTTTGTGGAGAATCCATTCCTCCTTGGTATAAATGGAGGTCAAAGATGGAGACCACGATCTTTATAAAAAATCATTTCAGTCGTGTTTCACACTTTCTTGCTGCAAACATATTTTCAAAACCTAAATAAGTACTTAATGATTTTGTAAATTTGTAATTATTGTACTTGCTGAATATTCTTAAGAGAACTTTAAAATCAAAGATGGTATCTGATCTGAGCGACGAACAAATCGAATCAGCTTGTCATCTATTTTTTTTATGAATATATATAGTATTTTGGGCTATGAAATAATGTATATTTTCTGCAAGGGTATTAAAATTACGTACGTTACGTAATTATGTATGTACATTTATATTAAGCAGGTAACAGGTTCACACATAATTGTAATCGATTGTAACATTAACAGGCTATATTAAGACTTGAATGGGAATAATTCTCAATTCCCTTCTGGGTATAGTCAATATTAATTTGTAAAACTGTACACATTTTTCGCGCCGTCGTCTATATTGGTCTTCCAACAAAATGACAGTTATTTAATAAGGTAGCATAAAACCCTCTCAAATAAGTGTAATGCGCTCTGCAGAGAGATATCTTAAGTAGGCGAGAAATTGGTCGTAAAATGATACAAATGCGAGTACTAGATGTGGATGCAGGCTGAGGAACCGATGGTGCCTGGGGCGCTCCACATTGGGCAGCGAACCGGAAAAAATCAAAGGCAAAACAATGATCAAAGCTGTCATTACAGATCTCGGGGCGGTCTTTGATCTCGCACCGCAATATGGCAGAGGCCGTGCATAGTTTAATGTTTTGTTTTTTATTTGATTTTTACTTTGTTCTATCAATCAGCGCCTAGTACTTTGCGACGCAGCGCAGCATGAGCCTGTCAGAGATAGGGTTTAGATTCGGGTTCGGGAGCCACATAAAATGATCTTGAGAACTGGTATGCGCGTTCTGTTCATTTAATTTTCACGTAATAAAAACACATTAGCAACAACAACAATAACAACAAGTCCAAAGAAACAGCACGTTAATTTCGTTTAAAAATAAAATAGACGAAATAATTGTTGCCAGCATCTGAAATCGCATTTGACGGATGACTTTGTGAGCCAGTTGAACCAATATATACATACATATATAGAGAGAATTCTCCCAGTATTATGCATAGTTGAGTAAGATCTCTAATTCGTTGTCGAGAGTAACATTTATTTTCGGGTTTATATACAGCGTATTGTCGATTTCCTGGAAGTAATGCGGAATTTTCTTGTTGAGCTAAATTCGTTTGATTGTGATTGATCTTTGATCGTGCAGTAAATAGATTCATCAGATGTTTGTTTGCGAGATGCGAGAATGTTTGTTATGCATTAGTTCACCTGGCATAGAGTAAAGACAATGCCCAGAGTTTCCAGAGACACGGAGGAAAAAAGTCAAATATACTTAGTAAATAATAAATAATAATACTTAAGAATTGGAACACAAAGAACTTACTTTCCATTTGCCGCAGATTAATGAGGCTTATTTCCGTTTAATCCCGTATTCTTTTGGGTTCTTAATGGGCTTAACAAACACCACGTCCGTGTCTGTTCGTTCCGTTGATTTGAGACAGTAAATCTATTAAATTCCAAAGTCACGCAGCGACCATTAGATGCACATATTCAGGACACGAAACGTATGCACATCTCAGGGACCCTTCCCTGTTATCCTCACCATCCTCTTTCCGTTCCGGTCATTGTCCGTTAATTTCACAAATTTTGTGGTCATTGGTAATTTTTTTGTTTGGCTTGTGTTTGCTTGGTGTTCAACCATCATCATAGACGCGTATAAAGCGCACGCCAAACATGACATGCGAATTTTTGGGATGTGTCCAAGACGAAAGTGATAAACGATACACTGAGTAACTAAAACTAGAGGGATGGGTGCGGGGTGCGGCGTGACGGGATTTCGGGATGGCGGAATGGCTAGCCAAATGGCAGCTTGGCAGCCTGACACTTGGATATGCGCACAAATAACACTTAACACAATAACAAACAAACTTTTCGACTAATGACAGTCCAAGTAGCAAACAATTTATCCAATACCAGGCAGCATGTCCTTTTTGCGCCTTCGCCTGCTTCTCTGCATGGCTATGTAGTACGCTGCCAAGTCATTAATCTTATTTCGTTTTGGTCGCTCGACGGCAGGAGGCCAGTCCATGCACAGTCCGGGCGCAAGCCTCCGTCGTCGGCGTCGTCGTCGCCGTCGTCCTTATCCTTTCAAGCGTGAACACATGCGATTACGCGTGGTGTGTGTTCCAGTTTCCGCATTTTCCTGTGCCAGGCGGCTGCCATGATTAAGTGCCATTTTGAAAAGTACTAAAATCCGGTTGGTCATGGCCCACACTTTAACTCCCCAGTTGCTCGCCAATGTCAAAGTGTCAATGATATATGTTATACGCCTCGATAAGACGCTGAGCAACAGCAGAACCATCCGCACCGCCAACATCCTCACCCGGCATTAGCACCCGTAACCTGACTCATACCAATCCCTTGCCAGAATCTGAAAAATATTGCACGTGGACAAAGCCTTGCTGGCGAAATCAGTGCACGTTCACACAATAACATAATAGTTGGCAATATATTGTAGATTTTCCGTCTACCCATTGCCACATACAACGAGCATTTCCTCTTAACCCTGCCTCCTGCAGAGTCTGCTGTGGTGAAGCAAGCGCGTAATATTTCTTATTTTTCCGCATTCTGTGGGTTTTGGCCCTCGCCTTTCGAACTGCTTGGGTAGCTTTACGTGTGAAATATTATTTGGCAATGACATGACACAATGTGCATTCGATTGTTCTCTTTCCACTGGCACTTTGTTCGGATGGTTTATGAGTTAGGTACGAAAAGAGAGTTGTGAGTTATGTACATCCAGCTACTCGTATATCATAGATCAAGTAGTTGGTTGTTTTATCTCAGACAGGAAAAATATTAGCAATACTTTCAAATGACAATTGTGCATCTTAATTATTCGCTGAGTAATTTGCACATTTTGCAGCTTCGATTGGAATTTTTTATACACCCAATGCTCCTACTGGAACATATAAATGTTATATACAGTTTAATTAATAAAACTTTAAATCAATCCGTTATTAACTATTCCTAACTTTGCAAAGAACAGCGGAAGTGCAATAAATTCATTAGCGTAAATTTCAAAATAGAGATGAAAATATAAAAAAAAAAAAAACAAAACTAAAGCAACAAACAAGAACGAGAAAACAAACTGAAGCGAACAGGAAACGCAGACATGGCCACAATATACAACAATTTACAACCTAAATCAAATGCAGTTGAATGGCCAACACAGACGCCATAAATCACTGGCCAGTTGAGCCGTAGACGGACACGGATGTGGATGTGGATGTGGATGTGGATGTGGACATGGCAGCGTTGAGCACCATGTGCAGAGTCCGAAACATCCAATATTTTAGTAACTCGCCCGAAAGATTCGAGCGTCGAGCGCACGAAGGAGGCCAAATGCAATATGTTATCAAATAAAAATGTTACAAGCGTCGACAGGAATGAGCACGAGGGCCAAACAGAAGAAGAAATGTGTTGCACAAATTTATTAGAAACCCCAACTAACGAGCATATCCTTGCCGGGCGTAGGTAATAGTAATGCCAGCGGTAGTGTGGTTGTTGTTCTAGCAGCAGCGTCAATATCGATGTGGGTCGGAAAATCCGAGTGATGTGTCAAATGTTAAGACATTACAAAGCACTAAAGGCAAGGACATGGCAATAGCAACAGGAAAACAAATCGAACGTGTGCCCAATGCCATCAATCTTTTGTTTTTATTGCCAAGCAGCGGCATTGGCAGCGGCAGCGACATCAAACTCGTCCGAGTGCTCGTTTCCCTTCAAGTCCCCCTTGAGCATTTCTTATGAACGGCCAGGACATGTGCTGCCTGGGTGCCCGACTATGCTTGTTGTGTGCCCGACATTAACTCGACAGGATAACAAATCTGTTAAATGTGACAAACGAGCAGTGCGGTCTTTGACAGCCTTGTAAGTTAGAGGCGGGCAGCCGGGCAGGCGGTATGACGG